GCCTGACATAGTGGGTCTCAGCTAAAAGGCTTAGCTACATTAAGGGGGCAGAGGCTGAGTAGGCTGAGACACCAACAGAGGGAACAATATTCAAGTAACACCTGTGAGACACGGGGAGTGGTATAAGGGGAGGTTTGGAGCCATCCAATTAAGCCCATAAGGCTTAAGGTGTCCCATGAGGCACCAACTTGGAGCAGAACCTGGCAAAGGGTCTAAGGAAGACATCTTTAAAAATAAGTCACCCATTTCTTTCATTAACTACAAACAAGCTTGTTTTGAGGGCTAAGCAGACTCTTGCAGGGTCTAGTAGGACTGTGGCTGCACAAAAACTCATGGGCAGCCTCCCTACGTATTATTTTTACCAACAATACATGGCAGGTGAGATTAGAAGGCATCCTAGGGGCAGAGCTGGCATGATCATGGAGCCCTAGTGCCATCATGACCATCCCTGGGGACCCCACACCATGACAATATGTACAACTAGGAGAAGTGAGACAGAAAAAAACAAAGTGTGTTGTTCAAGCCAAACAGCAAGTCATTCGTAGGGCCAGGATTAAAATGATGAATCCGCTGATTTTAATCTTGTATTTCTTCCAGACCAACTTGGCTTCAACCCTAATATAATCATGGTTAAAGAACCCTTCTTTATGGAATATAGACAGTTTACAATACCACTATCAGGTAAGGAAAAAAAACTGGAAAAAATACATATCTCCCACTTAAATTTATGTCCAACCTGTATTACTATCGTTTGTCCATTTTACCAATGGTTTAGGTGAGGCAGACAGAAGTTAAAGGACTTCCATAAAAACACGCAGGACAGGAGTTTGTGGCAAAGCTGAAAGTAGAAACCTTGAGTTCCAGTTCTCAGTCTCTTGCTTAAACCACTAGAATCTCTTGGCTAAATTCGTCCCAGATGCATCTAAACTGATTTCAGAAGAATTACAACAGGGATGAATTTGGCCTATGTTCTACCCATATATAATCCAAGATAGCTATGTGGGCAAGGAATCATATCTGTGTCCTCAGTGAAATAATGCTGCAGCCCTGAGTATCAAATCCCCTTTATATTTGTCATTATCTGAGGCTGGCAGCTGACCACGTCTGGCAAAAGGAGAGGATACAGAAGCTTCCCAAATGTCTTGTCTGTAAGCTTTGATTCTATCAAGTGAACATACCATATCTTTTGTAAGGGTATTGGGCACTGCCAGGTTAAACAGTTTTAGCTGCTTCTCAGGATTCAGGAGTTTTAGCAATTAACCCTTTTGGGTCATTCTAAAACAAAGCAACACAAGGCAGAAAGAGTGACACATAACACATACATCACAACTGAGCCAGGATCTAATTCTGTAGAAATGTCCAGATTAGCATGCTGAGATTCAGTTTCTAGGTCTGTACTGACTTTCACAAGTGAAAGTACGACATTGCCAACAAACCCTTTTAAACATCCTGGAACCAAAGTATCTTGAACACTAAAATGCCAAGTTAAATTTCTTAATAGTTTGCATCTGTGTGCTAGTGCATGTTCCTTGACTATACAAATAAGCTGACCTCACAAAGCTGGAGTTTTAAAAAATGGTTTGATCAGCATTCTGCAAAAGGTATTGATTAACAAGCCACACAACTAATGAAGACTGGAGGGAAATGGCACCAAAAAAAACAAGCAAAAACCCCCACTTCTTCTGCCTTCCCTCCACCTTAAAAACAGTTTTCATAATCCTGAGAGACACATGTTAATAGATAGATTCCCACAGCCCCCACCATGTCTCGGCATAGATAGACCCTGCCAGAAAGAAGAGAGGAGGTGGAGCTATCTCTACAGCACCATTCCATACCCATCCACACACTGCAGAGGATCATCCACATGTTTAAGGTCCATGGACGAATGTGTATAGACTAGGTTTGGAGCCATTAGGGGGAAATGACATTGTCCTTCCAATCCATCTACCCCTATGCAGAGATTCCCAGAAAATAAATAGAATAAAATGGAGTTGTGCCACTAGGAGTAAAGGGCAAAGAACCAACATTGGTGCAAAGACACAAGGACTCAGTACAGATGGTCCAAATCTGGTGAGGGATTTGCGACTTGTGACCTCTTCCACGAAGGAGCAAAACCTACCCTCCCTCCTTTTCCTTTCACATGGAACAACATGGGAGAAGCTCTGTGAGAGGACTTGTGTAGAAATTGCCTTTTTCCAAATCCCCTTCCCAGGCGTTTTTTGTGGGAGAGGGATGCTCTGGGCCAATACGATTAAGCAAATGTAATCCATGTGAAATGAAATGTAAATCTCAGAGGGAGTTTATACAATTTATTTAGTACCACAGTGCCAGTTTTACGAAGTCATTTTTCACCAGCTGGACTCTTTAAGTTCCTTTACAAACACACAAGTCCTAATATAAAATCCACATGATGAGATTTAGTGGCTCACAGAGCTTTTTGGGAGGTTTGCCAAGTAGATGATGTGGGGTTTTTGCTAAAATTGTACAGCCCTATGGTGTACAAAAGGCGAACACTAATAATTTGGTCTTCTGCTATTAAAATTATTTCAGCAATACTGGAGTCCAGGATCTGTTTCATAATACTAACCTTTTCATATCAAACACAAATATTTTACAGGTAGGCTGTAATTGTGCAGATTTTTATTCACAGACAAAAGAATAGTAAGATCCTTTCTGGTTGAGAACAGAAAATTAAGGGTCAGATCAAGCATGGGTTCAAAGAAGAGTATTCAGGCCCACATGTTTTTCAGTCAGAGCTAGTTTTCACCTACAAAGCACTCAAATTCAAAATATACAAGCAGTAACTTCATACAGAGCTATGCTGTTAACAAAATAGGCTGATTCAGCATTTCAGCTTCAAACCAGTCTAGTTCTACCCTGTTCTAGCAAATTTCACTCACAGGAAGCTTTGTACATCTAGCAAAATAGCAGCTAGTGCATTTCACTGTAGTTATATGTTTTGCATCAAAAAGAATCATGATCACTGTTTCCACTGTGACTCCTCATGTGCTCACTCACACGAGCTGCTTAGCCCTCAAAACAAGCTTGTTTGTAGTTAATGAAAGAA